TTATCTTCTGTGGCTGTGAAGGAGATTGGGAGGAAGATGAAGTGAGCCCAATCGGGGAGGAAGGAGAAAGAAGGGTTGGGTAGGGTTGGGTCATGAGTTGGGTTGGATTGGTTTTAATGACGTGGCGGGTTATAATGACGTGGCGGGTCGGGTTTTATTTTTGTTGGGTTATATCCGGCTGATTAGGCAATTCTGTTTGCCACATCAGCACTTAACGGACTTCATTAACGGAGTTGGACGGAGACTAACGGCGAGTGACTAAATGTGTCCAGTTTTAGTAATTGTAGTGACCAAATTTGATATTAACTTTTTCTAGTGACTAAACATGTCCCGATTTTGTAATCTCAGTGACCAAATGTGTCTTTAACCCTATATTCTAATAATAAAAATAATAATAACAATAATAGGTTTAGGTTTTTTTGTTTTTCCTTGCCAATTTTTTGAAAAAAATATATTGTTTGGTGAGGAAAAGGGCTGGAGATGTTACAATTTATAAGTAAAAAATCAACATTAACTGACAAGACCCATTATGGAGTGAAATTGAGAAATTCTTGTAAGAACTCCGAAGTTAGACATGCTCACCGTGGAGCAATGCAAAAATGAGTGACTTTTCGGGAAGTCACCTTAATATGTGCACAAAAGCAAAAAAAACATGCAAAATTTAGGTAAAAAAGAACAATATCTTAATCCGAAAAAGTTTGAGATGTTTTCCCTGCTAGCTGACGTGGCAACTGAGCTGAACGTTGACTAATGGTCAACTCGGTTGACCGTCAAATTTGACGGTCAAACCCGCCTCCAGGCCAAATAAGGAAGTATGATACATAGTTCAGGCCAGAATAGCAATTTCCAATACCTCAGATCAAAGTAGAAAATTTGTCTATAGTTCGGGCCAAACTAAGGTATTAACACGGTTAAATAAATCATGAATGTCTTTCGTGACGTGAAATTTGTTACGTGGGCATGTCCAGCCTCATGCCCGGTCTCTCGCTCGTCAGTGTTTTTTTCCAAGTTCGCGTTATGTCTTCCTCCCTTCCTTTGGTCCCTGCTCTGCCCCAGCCTTCCCATTCTCGCCTCTCGTCTTGGTCCCCTGCTCCTGTTGGCTTTGTGAAGATCCACTTTGATGCTGCTGTTCGTCCTTCTGGGTGCCCGTCTGGTCTTGTGGTGCGCAGTTCAGATGGGCATGTGGCTCTGGCTTTAGGGTCTCTCCTTCCCGGTATTGCTGATCCCTATCTTGCGGAGCTCCTAACAGCTAGGGACGCCTTCGCCCTTGTAGTCTCCAAAGTGCTGCTTCGGGTCATCATAGAAGGAGATTCAGAGGTGGTGTTTCGGCAGCTTCGTCAAGGTGTTCTCTCTGTCTCCTTTGGAGGTCCGGTGCTTCGGGATTGCTCCCTTCTCCTTTCTTCCGTCTCTATTTCTTTAGAGTTTAGGGCAGTTCCTCGGACTGCTAACATTGCTGCCCATAGAGTGGCGCAGAAAGCACTGTTACTCTCCCCTTTAGAGTTTTGCGCCTTTGATTTTGTGGGTTGGCTTCTCTGATGTATTGGGTTGGGCAGGGTCGGGGTAGATTGTAAAGGTTTTCTCTTGACATTTCTTGGAAAAAAAAAAAAAAAAAAAAAAAAACTAAGTGACATCAATTGACCACCAATATATAAAAATTAAAAATCTCAATTGACTACTTTTTGAAATAATTGACCACCCATTTCTCTATAATCATTCCCCGCGTCTGGAATAATTGCCAGTGCAGGTTCACGGCACTAATTAAACAACACATCCCCCAGAAGTTGAAAAAACGCCGTTCTGGGAGGCAGGAATCAAGGATTTTAATCGTCATCTAATTATTTAATCCTAGATTACAGTCAATTAACTTTTCACCACTGTTCATGGGATTGTAACTGTAAAGTTACCGTGGCTATACAAAGATAAGAGTCTCCCCACAATCAATTAATACGAAATTACTCTGTATATACTCTGCCTGTTGACAGTTTCCCGGATTCTTAAATGACTCCAAATTCATCCCACCATATAGGGAATAGTAAAATTCCAAGCCCTTCTGGCTTTTATAGCAACAACATCAGAATTTTGGGAAAAGATGTCAAATTTTCCTGATGCAGCAATACTATAATTGCATGCTCATAAATTATTTGGGAAAAAGGGTTTTTTTCTTTGTGTGGGAACTGTAGCAGCTGATGGGGATGGAATGGGATTTTCCGGGAAAATTTTCAGAACAAGAGAGCCTCACAGAAGTTTTCTTCCTCCTGGGATTCAGACCACAGAGAAATTGAGTTCCTTTGGCCTGTCCATTCTCTGGTATGTCACTCCTCTCTTCTCCGACTCTCCTGTGTGTTTTCAGACCGTTTCCTGTCCGAAACCTGAAGAATTTCAGTCCAGTTTCTTTTGTTCGGTTTCGTTTATGCTGAAATGATGTTGTTCGGGTACATTCGATAAAATCGGAACAATTCAGTGTTATCTTTTTTTCGGGGATTCGGGATCAACAATTGTCATATCAACTACTCAAATCTACTTGATTAGAACCTAACTAGTAACCCGTTTGTTGTTGAATGATTGTAAGTCTGAAGATATAATTTTTGATAAGTTTGGTTGTTGGGTTTCTGTTTGATTGTTAGTAACTGAACTGCAGAGGTCTTTTTAGGTAGTGGGTGGATTCATCAGAGTGCTTGCAAGCAATCCAACTTCAGACAAAGGAAGTCATGGAACTGTTCCAGTCTGCGAAGCAGAGGTTGGGATGGGACAACAAGAGATTCGCCACGGTTCTGATTCTGTCCTTGATAATTCTCCCTGCATCAATCCTACTCGTGACAATATCTCGGAGCTCAACCTTCAGCGGCACCGGAGGGTTCAGCATTACCCAAATCCTGAAGGGTAAATTCCGGCAGCAAGCTCCGGCGACAATTGGAGGTAAGTAACAGTGTAACCACATTCATCCTTCTCAGAGGAATTGCCGAAAAGTTTCGTTTCTGAAAAAAACACCCTTTTTTCCTGATTCACAGAACTGAGAGAGCATTTGGCTTCCCCACCTTCAGTTGCTCCAACCCCATCTCCAGGATTCAGGACACAACAAGATTCGTCAAATCGAAACGACGAAGCGTTGCTGGATGGACTATTAATGTCTCCTGAAGCTGACGAACCTTCTTGCTTAAGCAGGCATCAATCCTACCGCAAGCATTCACCTCATAAGCCATCTTCATATCTCATTTCCAAGCTGAGGAAGTACGAAGATCTTCACAGGCAGTGTGGACCTGGAACTAAGTCGTACAAAAGGGCAATTAGGAAGCTTACAAAGTTGGACAGAGTAGACCGTGATCATTCTTCTTCTGAAGAGTACTGCAAGTATGTCATCTGGTTACCTGCAAATGGGTTAGGGAACAGAATGATAAGCATTGCTTCCACATTTCTGTTTGCTCTTCTCACGGAGAGAGTGCTGCTTCTCCATCAACGACCCGATATGGAAGATCTGTTCTGCGAGCCATTCCCAAACTCGTCGTGGGTCCTGCCGGTGGACAAGTTCCCTCTGCAGAAGGAATTTTGGGATGAGAAGGACAGGCACTCACACAGCATTGGAAGCTTGATGCAGAAGGGTAATTCTTCTGCAGCAAGAAACGAGTCGTCGAGGGGTCAAGCGTCTTCGTATCTGTTTGTGAATGTGAATCATGGTCGCTACGATGGAGATAACGTGTTCTACTGCGACCGAGGTCAAGCTTCTATCGAGAAGATTCCATGGCTGATTATGTTATCGGATCAATACTACGCACCAGCTTTCTTCGTGATGAAACGCTTCGAGAAAGAGGTGATAAAAATGTTTCCTGAGAAGCAAACTGTGTTTCATCACTTGGGTCGATACCTGTTCCATCCTTCGAATCAGGCGTGGGGGCTAATCAAGAGGTTCTACCGGGCGTACCTGGAGAAGGCAGATCAGAGAATTGGTTTGCAGATTAGAGTGTTCAATCCCAAAACTGTACCATTTCAGACTGTAATGGATCAGATACTGAAATGCAGTTCAAAGGAGAACAACATCTTGCCTAAACTTGATGATGCCAAACCTGTAGGTACTTCTCAATCCGGGAACGGGACATCTTCCAAGGCTATTCTTGCAGTTTCTTTGTACTCCGAGTACTATGAGCACATCAAGAACATGTACTGGACCAAGCCGACTGTGGAAGGTGACGTGATTGGAGTTTATCAGCCAAGCCACGAGGAGTATCAAAAGTTTGGTGACAATATGCACAACATGAAGGCGTGGGCTGAGATTAGTCTGCTCAGTACTTGTGATGTTCTGGTGACAAGTGCTTGGTCGACGTTTGGATATGTAGCTCAGGGGCTTGGAGGTTTGAAGCCATGGATTCTGCACAAGGCGAATGACCAGAATGTACCGAACCCAGCCTGTGTAGAGGATCTGTCGATGGAGCCTTGTTTCCATTTCCCTCCAACTTGTGACTGTGACACAGATGAGAAGGTTGATGCTGGTGCTCTTGTTCCTTACTTGAGACACTGTAAGGACTTGAACTGGGGAGTCAAGCTAGTTGAGTAGTGATGAGCATGAAACAAAAACAGTAACCAAATTCTACTACCGGCTATATGATAATTAACCCCCTTTTTCGATTCTTCGATTGTAAAGAAAGTACAGTAATAGATTATCGACATTTGACTGAATCGGTTGTCTTCAATCATGAACCAAGTTAAGGTGTTTGTGTTGGTGAGTTTTTGTTTTTCAATGTATGATTAACTGCAAAGATGCTGTTCACTATTCGATTGAATTGACTTTTAGATTGAATCGAACATGATAGAATATAATTGTATCTGGTTTTGATGATAACATTCAATACTGTTTTTCGATTTCCATTCAATAGATTCAATTAGAAAGAAAGGATGCATTTTGATTTGATTTCTCAACAAAATATAGACATGGAGATGAACATTTATGCACCCAACATCAACTAAATATACAGGTTGCAACCATCCCTCTCTCTGTGTCTTTCATGCTCTTAAAGAGAAGGAGAGGTAACAAATTGTCTAGACAAGCTGAACATATCCTTCTGTGCAAAAGGAGAGGTCCAATCACGCAATCCTGGCGCAGAAGATGGTGCTTCCATACCTCCATTCCCGCTGGCCGAAGAACCATTGCTGATCAACAACGAGGAGAGCCCCAGCCACATTCTCCTTGACTTGGAAGGCAGCAAGCTTGAATCCAGACTCCAATCTATGCTCGTATAATCGAAATTAGGCATCAAACCTCCACTGTTCCAATCAACCTGTGAAGTTGGTGATCCCCAGCTATCAAACAGTCCAAGCGAAGATGGAGCTGCTAGTGATGGCAAATTACTGGAAGATGGAAAACTCTGATACTCTGATGATCTACTACTACCACCACCCATTCTAGTTCCTGCCGAAGCTTCCATTGGGTTTGGGCCGCTGAACAGAAATGGGGTTTCTTTGTACGACGATGGACGGTGGTGGAGGTGATGGTGATTATGGTTTTGGAAAGGAACATTACTGGAATACCATCTCGCCGTTGAAGAATAAGTGTTTGAGTTCTGAACTGGGTATTGATTGGAATTCATGAACTGTGAATGCTGTTGCTGAAATTTTGGTGATTGAAATAGTGATGGGTTGTTGTATCCATAGCCATGATTCCCCCACCTCTGATTCTGAAAGTTTCTGTTGACAGGGTCCGAATAATGGATCATCCTCTGCCGGGGAACCGCGGCGACATCGACGCCGAGCTCGAAATTCGCTTGTGGTGGCAGCGGCGGCGGAGGAGGAGGAGTCGGCTGCTCTGGTTTCTGGGAAGCCAGAACCTCTGTTGCTTTCGCGAGATCCCCTTCACAATTCACAACTGCCCTTTCAATTTCTTGTTTAGAACATTTGAATCGAACCTCCAGAGCTGCAATCTCAGCAAGCTCGTCGCTGATTTCAATCTTCAACCCTAAATTCCTCTTTTCGGGGATACTACTTTCTCCGTCGTCCTTATCGCCTTGATCGCCGTTATCATCGCCGTTGCCTTCGAAAAGCCAATTCACGGACTCCTCTACCTTCCCGTCGTTCATCATGAGCGCCATTGTGGCACGATCTTTGGAGAATCCCATCGCCACGATCTGCTGCGAGAGGGATTCGAGCTTCCTCGACATCAGGAACCCACAGCAGCGTTCGTGGAGCTCTTGTGCTCGCCGCTCCCTCTGTCTGGCGTGCTTCTTCTCGTTCTTCAGCCGGATTTTTTCCCGCCGGTCGCTGTCCAGACCGGAGACGGTGACGTGGAGGTTGTCCGGCAGCCGGGTCGCGGTCGTTTTGGTTACTTCTTTTGGGTCTTCCTCGCCGGAGTAGCAGCTGCCGTTGTTGGAAACCGAATCGGGTTCGGAGCCCAGCAGCAGTGCCCCGATTGGGCTGCCCGAATTTTCATGGTCGGGCGAGGAGGAAGAATCCGGCGACGATGAGAGAATCTCCAATCCGGGAGTCGGGTCGGAGCAGCCGCTTTTCTTCGGGTTGGTTGCCACATTGTTTTGCGGTGGTCTGGCAGAATTCCCGGCGAGTTTTTTGGATTTATTCCTGGATTTTGTTGGAGACATTATTTTACTCCCTGAAAATTACTGCAGAGGAAAAAAAAAAAAAAAAACATTAGAGCTGTTTTATTTACAGAATAAAGAATTAACAACCATTTATCAGACATTTTGGCGAGAATACGTGCTCATTTTGATGGATTGTTTTCTTGTTTGTCAAACTATAAATTTCAATTTGATAGTAAATTAATTGATTTCTAATGCACAACATTTCAATCAAATTAAATGTTGTCAAGATGTTGAGGACTCCCCAAAACTCAGTTATTAACTTTAAGCTTGAAAATGGAAGATTAAAGAGAAAATGACCAAAACCCAGTTTTTAACTTTAAGCTTAAAATGAAAGATAAGAAGAAAATGACCAAAATTCCAGTTTTATACTTTAAGCTTAAAAATGAAAGATAAGAAGAAAATGACCAAATTCCAGTTTTTAACTTTAAGCTTAAAAATGAAAGATAAGGCAGAAAATGACAAACCTTGATAGAAGTTCGGAAATTGAGCTCTTGTTTTGGGTAGGAATTTCCCTAATTGGAGTTAGGGTTTGCCCTTTACTCCTAACCTTCTTCTCTACTAATTTCCTATGACAAAGGATTTGTTTTGGGTTTGTTTGATTGTTTCTTTCTTGTTTTGTGTTGTTTTGATTTCGTTTAGGGTGAAAGGGTTAAGACAAGGTGGTTTTTGAAGGGGTTGAGAGGTCTTAATTCCAAGGTTTATCTTTGTTTTCTTTTCTCCTAGCCTATATTAAGCATCTAGATTTTTACCTCTAGTTTCCTCTTTTTTTCTTTTGTTATTTAATTTGACAATATAAAATGGGTTGGTGCTTGAAAATCAACCAATATTGTCTAAAAAATTCATAACAAAAAATATTCTAAAATTAGCATTTTAAATGAAGATTATTATTATCCACCCCTTTGGGTGGCTAGGCTAGGCTATCTAGATTGGGAGATAGATTATGAAGGAATGGCCAAGGACATCAGTCATATTGTTTTGTATGATGTGAGTTTTACTTTGAATTGATAAGTCATTTTTTGTCATATAATCTAGTTCGAAACGATTGAAGTATTAGGCTCATATAAAAAATAAAACAGTTATTAAGGATTATTATTTCATCTAAAACGTACCATAAACTCTCATTCTCCAAGGTTTTAGGGTGACAACTTATAAACCATACAATGCATTATATTTGCTTATTATATTTGCAATTAAACAAGCGATTAGGGATTTCGATATATAGTGAGCACTCAACGTGGGGAGCTAAATTGGCGCCTAACTAAAAAAAACACCAAAGTTAGCAGTTGACTTGGGATCTTCATGCATGATAGGATGAGGTATTGTGTGCAACTATGCTTGAGAGATAACAACATGTCGAGCATCTATCCAGGTATCATGCTTGATACCTAGTGTCCAAGATGGACCCCTTACCCCTACGACGATATCATGCTTTAGGGTCCTCACTGTAGATGGTAATTTGTCATGCTTGACACTTAGCTAGTCAACCATACTTAAAACAAGTGGTGTGGCATGCTTGGGGGTCGACATGATCAACTATGGCCATCATCTCATGATAGTAGTTACCACATTGGTCTTAAGTACCTTGATGCTCAATGTCTTAGTGATGTCCATGTTGAATCCCTTGTATGATGTCATGATTAACACCAGATGGTCTACCATGTAAGGTCCATGCCTGACACCTAGAGTATTGATGAGATTGTTTGGTAGGTACCATGTTTGATATCCATGAGGCCTATCATGCATTACTACTTGGGATGAGGTTGCATCGTGGCTAACCCTCTAGGATGATTTCATACCTGACACTTAGGTGGTTGAGGAATCAACGATGAGGAGGTTGATAGATGCACATTGATCCCTTGAGGTGATGTCATGCCTGACATCCCGATGCTTCTAGGGTCTTGACAAAGAGATACACATGCTTACTCCCTTTGCACAATGCCCTACTCGATGGGTATTGTTGTCTTGAGTGGTAGGCAACGAGGCTTGTTTGAGGGTGTCGGCATGTTATGCACTAACCCTCCTTGGATGACATCATGTTTAACGCCCTAAAACGATCTCATGTACGATTGGTCGACGGCGAGAAGATATACACTAACGTATCTCGCTTGACAGTATGTGTAACCCAAAAGTCTGTCATGTATACCAACTTAGACCAATTTAATTAACATTGTTAGATTGACCTTATAAACTATGATTGGAAATAGATAGAATTCCATTTGCTGATTTTATTGGCTACCAAACAAGCTACTAGGGATTAGGGATGGCAATGGGTCGGGTTGGGTCGGGTTTTGCCAAACCCAAACCCATGGGTTTATCCGTGAAAAAACCTGGGGTAAAACCCACTGGGTTTGAAAAACTCAAACCCAACCCAACCCGCTGGGTATCCGTGGGTTCATGGGTACCTACAGGTTTTTGTCGTAAAAAAATTACAATAACAAATTCCCATCAAATTAAAGTCAAATCTCAATCTCTCAATACAAATTATCCATATATAAAACATCATTCTAGAAAATTCAAGCAAATCACAAATTAACTATACAAATTGTTCAACACCAATCTAGAAAACTCAAGAAAATTGAAGCAAATCACAAATTATCCATATATAACATGATTAATTGAAAGCTTCTTCCTTTCAATTGAGTTTCTTCACTCTCCACTCGATAACATCAACTTCATTCTACACAATTAGAAAGAAAAAATTAGACATTTCTCCACAAACATAAATAAGATTAGTTGTTTAGAATATTAAATATATCAAGAAAATTAATTATATGGGTGTGGGCGGGTACTCATGGGGTGGATTTACCTAAACTCAAACCCAACCGGTGAATAGTGAACAGGTTTAAACTCAAACCCGGCCCAAAACCCGTCAATACGGATTTTACCCGCATTAACCGGATTGGGTCGGGTGGGTACCCATGATTTCGGATTTTGTTACTATCCCTATTAGGGAATTCGGCCGACAGTAAGCCCTCGACGCGGGGTAGCTAAATTGTCATCTAACTTAAAAGAAAAAACAGAACGCCAAAGTCAACAAAATCAACACTCGACGGCCACCTTACTCAAAGTTACTGTTTTCTCAATACCTTATACCTCTATTAACGCTAACTAATCCTACGCCTTTCCCTAAGTATGACTTTAACCAGAACCACATGGCTTCTCTAAAGATTCTCAGTTAAGCTCATTCAGAAAGATTCCCCGGTAAACAAAAGCGTAAAAGAAAGACTTACCGGCTTCTTTTCTTGTCGACCATAAAGACTTACGAGAGTCTTTCTTGGACTCTGCTGGAGACTTAGATTGCAAGTTAGCACGGATTCCAATCAATGCTCCAATAGTTATCAATGGGCAAAATAAGTTCTCAATCTGCAGGCTAGGATATGCAAAAAGAGAAAATCGTCTTCATAGTTTGCAACTCATTGAACAGTCGGTAGCGCTTCTGAAGAGCTATCTTGCAGACATTCTTGTTTCCTCAGTTCACAGGTGTGCCTTTCGTTCTTGCAGTCTTTCTGATAGTGTCTTCTTATGAGTAAGCGAACTGGCATTGCATATCTTGCAGTGAGCGAACAGTGAGATGTTTCATTTCGTCTTTCAGGTCACTCCCACTGTTATGCTATGGAAAACCAGCAAGGACTTACAGTTCCACGGAGTTTCCTGACTGCTATGGCCGTTTGCTTCATAGCTTTGCCTGTTTTGGTCATCTTGGTCCCTGGGATTCATCATGAATCCTCTATCTCTGATGTGCTCGGGCGATTGTACAAACTACACCCAGTTGGACAAGGAGCTGCTCATAACGACAGCAATGCACACAACCTGTCTGATGATGGTCTTTTTGCTCCAGGGTTCGATGAGAAGTCATGCTTAAGCAGATTCCAGCACCGACTTTACCGCAAATCTGAAAGGAAGCCTTCTGCTTATTTACTCTCCAAACTGAGAAGCTACGAACATCTCCACAGGCGTTGTGGCCTCTACACTGATCCCTACAACAGAACCCTGACAGTGATCAGGTCAGGGGAGGACGTCGATGATACCTCCACTGGTAGCATTACTGCTTGTAAATATCTCATATGGCATCCTGTGAATGGCCTAGGGAACAGAATGATAAGTCTGGCATCCACATTTCTCTACGCTTTGCTAACCGACAGAGTTCTTCTTGCTGATCTTACCCAAGACATGGCTGATCTCTTCTGCGAGCCGTTTCTGGGCTCTCCTTGGATCTTACCTCTGCAGTTTCCTCTCAGGAACCTTGCCCGTAACGGTAAGTTAAGATTTGCTCACAGCGTTGGCAAAGCACTGAAGAACAGCACATTGAAAGTGACACCACCAGACTCCCCTGCCAAAGCACCTCCATTTCTTTTCATTAATCTATACCAAGGGGCGTACGCTGATGAGCCTAGTAGTTTCTACTGCGATGAAAGCCAATCATTTCTTCGGAGAGTTCCCTGTCTGAGTCTGCTATCGGATCAATACTTCGTGCCTTCTCTCTTCCTCGTTAAGTCATTCAAAAAGGAGGCAATCAGACTGTTCCCCGAGAAAGAAGCAGTCTACCATCACCTGGTCCACTATCTAATGCTCCCTTCGAATCAGGCTTGGGAGCTAATCACCAAATTCTACGAAGCAAACCTTGCCAAAGCAAATGAAAGGATTGGGCTCCAAGTAAGAGTCTTTGAAGACCAATTCATTCCAATTCTTACTGATAACATTGTGACTTGCTTGCAGAACCAAACCCATCTTCCTAATATCGACAACAAGAAACCGAAACTTTCATCTTCTTCTTCCTCACCCAGAAATCAGACACCAACAACAACAGCTGTCCTAATAACATCCTTGTACCCACAATTCTACCAGAACCTCAGCACAATGTACTCAAACAAACAAACAGTTAGCGGCGAAGTGATCAAGTTTTACCAGCCGAGCCACGAGGGGAAGCAGAGGTTCGGGGACAGCGAGCACAACATGAAGGCATTGGTTGAGATATATCTGCTTAGCATGTGTGAGAAGCT